TTATAAAAATTCATATATATATATATATATATATAAGGAAAGATTTTAATTAAAAAAAAACTTTCCGAATGCAACAAATTGTATATATATTTATAATATATTCATCCGAATACGAATACGTGACTTTTGTCAAGATTTGCTCTATAAATGAAAAAGATTATTTAATACCTTATGTATATATAAACACACATAAAAATAGAAGCAAATATAAAATATAAAAAAAAAAAAACAGACGTCAAAACAATATCAAATGTTATGCATACTCTCTGAAATATCCTATATAGAAATTGAATACCTTAATAATATAAAAAAATTATTTGACAGGAGGACAAATGACACATAACAATGATATCAATACACTAAATCGATAACAAATAAACTTGTAACATATTGACAAACGGCGCCGAGTTCACCTCAAAACAGTAATGTCATTGTTGTTCCCAATTTTTCGCATTACATTATATAACATATACATATATACATATATGTGTGTATATATATAATTAAGAATATATAATAAAATAATAAAAATAAAATTGTGCGCATTACGCACAATATATCTACGTAATGAACACGAAAAGATTATAGATGCATAGAAATCTTCAAAGATGCATCTCGCCGGTCTTTCGGTTATCCGGAAGATACTATTAAATTAGCATAATATTCTCCGACACGAAACTTGTATGCATACTATCGAATTAGCATAACGTTCCGAAACGCAAACTTAAATGCATAGATCTTCGTATGTCTTATGATATTGAAACATTGCACAGCTAAAAAACAAATATTCGTCACATGACGCGCGAGTTTACCCGACTGTCTTACTCTTTCTCTTTCCCGCCAAAATATTGCGTTTTGGAAAAGGCTAACATAAGAAGCACAGCCAAGCTGTTTGCTTCAGTTGCACTTTCCACTTATCTGTATCTTTTTTCCTTTTCTTCTCTCTCCAAAGTCGAAAAATATAGACTTATATAATTTTAAATACACAAAGTGTGAAAAAAGAAAGAAAGAAAGAGAGAGAGAGAGAGAGAGAGAAAGAGAGAGAGAGAAATGTGTATCAAAACAAGCAACCTCAATAGTTTCGGAAATCGGAAATGCGAGTCTTTTGCAACAGAAAAACAACACAGACTCACCTTTTTATATCAAGATACATATTGTTCAATGTTGCATTGTTTCGGGGTGAACGACGATCCGTACTGGATACGTAACTTATGCGAGAACGGTGGACCCTTAGCAATTTAAACAATATGGCCGGTCATACACCCTCGAACAACGCGAACTTTGCGTTTCTCAAGCGGGAGAACTTTGTCAGTCTCTTACGACGCTGTCACGAATCTGCGCGAATCGCCGATCGCGTTCACTTATCCACTGCGGACTCGTATCTCGTTGACGATCGCGTCAATCTTGACAAGTTTGACAGACGGGGTTTTGCGAGGTGTCTTCACTCCCCGCGACGTCGCGACATCATTTATCTTGCGTGACGCGCGGGGTAACTTCCTGTGACGATGTGTTATTCTCCTGCATTATCGACGATACTTGAGATAGACTCCATGAATCGCTACGTTATCGACGAAGAAACACCCTTTTTTCAATATTTTGCTCCTAATACAATTAACAGATAGAAAGAAATGATCATCCCATTGTTTTTCATGGGATCATCATTTAGCTCTATAAGTAGAACTCTGTAGATCACAAATGATATTTGTATCCGAACTGAAAGAGCGGAGAATTTCTAAAAATAACAAATATCTACTACACACGAACAACGGCGCGTACTTGCGCGAACGTAGTTGCGCACACGAGTTGTCAAACTAAAGACTCGTGGCACACGTTGCGATTGTAAAATGCGAGCCAATAAATTACTAGAAATGCAGCCGAGTTAAGTGCGTTCGAAAATCTACTTGTCGGATGGAGTAGCTTTTGACCAATCAAGACAAAGAAATTGTTTATCCTGATTGGTCAAATCTGAGAGAAGCTCTGCAATTTATATCCGGAATATAACTAGAAATAATGTCAAAATTAATGTTGATAAATGTGAAATATAAATATATTTTACCGGATCCAAATTTTTCATCTGAATATTAAATTGAAATTAAGATCGAAATAAACTAAAAAATAAAAAAAAAATTTGTCTTGACCACTCTTTTTGCACTATTTGTATTTATAATAAAAGAAATTATGCGTCTATTATTCTTTCAAGAAGGAGAATAACAAAAAATATGATATAGAAAATAAAACTGACGCACAAATCTCAGATCACTAATATTGACATGCGTAACCGATAAAATTTTCGCGCCAATTTCATATTCCGTTTATTAGTTTATTAATATTTACAATAAGTGTCAGCAATAAATATATAATTTAATTAAAAATGAAATTCAGATGCAGAATGATGGATCAGAATATCATGCGGGATTTTACGAGTAAAATCATATTTTCGTATTTCTAACCTTATTAAAAATGTTATTAAAAGTAGATCTCACATCTCACAATTTTTCGTTTTTACTCGCACTCGCCAATTGTTCTTTATTAATCATAATTATCTCTTTTTTTTCTAGGTATTGTTAACACCATATCCCGAATGGCGAAATACTGCGTTTTGCGATTGACACCAGACGAATTATGCTTTAATATCGGCGACGAGCGAATACCTGTGCTTTGGGCTGTACTTTCTCCACAATATCTTTTTACCAAAAGCAACCTCAATAGTTTCGGAAATCGGAAATGCGAGTCTTTTGCAACAGAAAAACAACACAGACTCACCTTTTTATATCAAGATACATATTGTTCAATGTTGCATTGTTTCGGGGTGAACGACGATCCGTACTGGATACGTAACTTATGCGAGAACGGTGGACCCTTAGCAATTTAAACAATATGGCCGGTCATACACCCTCGAACAACGCGAACTTTGCGTTTCTCAAGCGGGAGAACTTTGTCAGTCTCTTACGACGCTGTCACGAATCTGCGCGAATCGCCGATCGCGTTCACTTATCCACTGCGGACTCGTATCTCGTTGACGATCGCGTCAATCTTGACAAGTTTGACAGACGGGGTTTTGCGAGGTGTCTTCACTCCCCGCGACGTCGCGACATCATTTATCTTGCGTGACGCGCGGGGTAACTTCCTGTGACGATGTGTTATTCTCCTGCATTATCGACGATACTTGAGATAGACTCCATGAATCGCTACGTTATCGACGAAGAAACACCCTTTTTTCAATATTTTGCTCCTAATACAATTAACAGATAGAAAGAAATGATCATCCCATTGTTTTTCATGGGATCATCATTTAGCTCTATAAGTAGAACTCTGTAGATCACAAATGATATTTGTATCCGAACTGAAAGAGCGGAGAATTTCTAGAAATAACAAATATCTACTACACACGAACAACGGCGCGTACTTGCGCGAACGTAGTTGCGCACACGAGTTGTCAAACTAAAGACTCGTGGCACACGTTGCGATTGTAAAATGCGAGCCAATAAATTACTAGAAATGCAGCCGAGTTAAGTGCGTTCGAAAATCTACTTGTCGGATGGAGTAGCTTTTGACCAATCAAGACAAAGAAATTGTTTATCCTGATTGGTCAAATCTGAGAGAAGCTCTGCAATTTATATCCGGAATATAACTAGAAATAATGTCAAAATTAATGTTGATAAATGTGAAATATAAATATATTTTACCGGATCCAAATTTTTCATCTGAATATTAAATTGAAATTAAGATCGAAATAAACTAAAAAATAAAAAAAAAATTTGTCTTGACCACTCTTTTTGCACTATTTGTATTTATAATAAAAGAAATTATGCGTCTATTATTCTTTCAAGAAGGAGAATAACAAAAAATATGATATAGAAAATAAAACTGACGCACAAATCTCAGATCACTAATATTGACATGCGTAACCGATAAAATTTTCGCGCCAATTTCATATTCCGTTTATTAGTTTATTAATATTTACAATAAGTGTCAGCAATAAATATATAATTTAATTAAAAATGAAATTCAGATGCAGAATGATGGATCAGAATATCATGCGGGATTTTACGAGTAAAATCATATTTTCGTATTTCTAACCTTATTAAAAATGTTATTAAAAGTAGATCTCACATCTCACAATTTTTCGTTTTTACTCGCACTCGCCAATTGTTCTTTATTAATCATAATTATCTCTTTTTTTTCTAGGTATTGTTAACACCATATCCCGAATGGCGAAATACTGCGTTTTGCGATTGACACCAGACGAATTATGCTTTAATATCGGCGACGAGCGAATACCTGTGCTTTGGGCTGTACTTTCTCCACAATATCTTTTTACGGAATACATTATGAGCGGAGTGTCAGAGCAGGAAAATGAAATTTATTTAGAGTTTGATGCTTCCATGTTTGCCAGAAGCTTAAATAGTCTAAGGGTAATGGCAAAGAGTGTTAAAATTAAATTGACAAACAAGCGGCAACCTTGTCTCACATTTGATATTGACTTATCTTCCCTGTCTATTGACTCACGACAATGTATACATGATGTGCCGGTGAGGCTTGTACCACGTAAAGAATGGCTAGAACATAAAATGCCAGATATTCCCGAATTTGATGTGAGTATAATAATATGATATATTCTATAAACATATGCATGTGTATCTAATCAATGTAATAAAAATAAAAAATTTTATTTTAGATATCGTTAGAAATACCACACTTGAAGTACCTACGATGTATTATAGATAGAATGAAAAATATGAGTTCACAACTCATAATAAGTGCCAATAAATGTGGTACAATTATATTAAAAATTGAAATGGACTATGCTACTGTATCCACTCACTTTAAAGGATTGCAAGTTTGGGAAAGCAGAGAAGAACAGGAATCTAACGATATCTCTGCGACTGTGAGCATAAAGAAATTCGCAATGTTTTTGGGTTGGGACATTCTCCATCCAGATAGTGTCAAATGTAATTTATTGCAGGAGAAGATGGTAAAACTGACTTTAGATGTAGGAGAATATATTCAAATGCACTATTTTATACCAGCCATTGCCTCCTGAATAAAATGAAAAGAACTTAAATCTGTATTAATAATATTGAAATGCAAAATATATATATTTTCCAATTTTTTTTCATTCTTACATTCAATACATTTATATCATATTCACTCACACTCTTCACTCCCCGATAAATGGGATAACATGGTATGTTAAATTCAAAAAATAATTTTTGTAAGTTTAAAATAAGTTAACTAATTGTATGCTAAATGTAAGTTCTGTTCACTTTCTTGTCTAAAACTCTGATGCATCTGATCAATATGTTGTATTTTCTGGCTCAACAAAGCCGTTTGCTGATCTAGCCATTGTAAACTGTTCATATGTGCATTCAAGATTTTGCCAATTTGAACAATAGGATCACTGGAATCCTGAGCGCGGTTTGCTTCATTTAAGTGTTCTATTATTTCCTTTAGATCCTCTGACATACGTTTTAATTGAGTATCGAGATTCTCTGATAAACGATAAGTATATTCTCGATCGGAATCCGAAATAGAAAGAGATGCTAATTCTTTTTCTAATGGTACTAAACATTCTTGTAACTCTTTCTGTTGTCCAACCTGAGAGAATGTACATATATTGTTTGCTTTAGTTTAATTAAAATTCAATAATTTCACTTTAATTTTAATTTAAACTTTAGATATATCTATGTGTGTATATATATANNATATTAAATATATAACATGTAATATATATATATATATATTAAATGTTATATATTTAAAAACTTTGTAGATTTACAAGCTGCAAATATATGTTACTTACGACATAATCCAGTTCATGTTCCAATTGTTGCTGCTCAATTTTCACCCTTTCAACCTCTTGATTCAATGTCACTATCTTCTCCCCATTCGTTATTAACAATTTATCCCAAGCATTGATTTGCGTTGCTTGATTCACAAATACCTTCTCTTGCTCTTCCAAATCTAAGGTCCACTTATTAATCGATTCTTCAAGCTGACAGAAATTAATTGCTCCTGATGGAATACCAGTTACAGAACTAACACTGCAATAAAATAAGAAAAAATTTGAGAAGCTTAATAAATTGAACAATTGAATTTATTTTGTCATTTAGTAAGTGTGCAAAAATTGATTGTTATTGATTTGATAAACAAAGATTTCATGATTCCTAATAAAGCTACTTACGTAGTGGCGGTACCCAAAGAAGTATGCGTAGAGGGTGCTGTTAGACTCGTTGAAATAGCAGCCGAAGTTGTTTTGCTCAAAGGAAATCCTGTGGAACTTGTTGTTGATGTTCCACTTCCAAAACTAAATCCTGACGCTGTAGTTGCCGCAAGAGGAAATCCTGTAGTTGCAGTTGTGGTACTACTATAGCCTGTTTTTGAGGCATCAAATGTAAGTCCTGGTGCCATAGATGGAACTGTAACTACAGAGCTAGGATTGCTAGGGAGATTAAAATTTGGAACATTTGCTGCCGTAGATGTTGTTGTTGCAATTGTGTTGCTAAGACCAAATCCAGTTCCGGTAGGCATAGCATTCGGAGTGCCAAAAGTCAAACCAGTTGATCCTATAAATGTAATATATACATATTATAATATCTTTCTTACATCTTATAAAAAGACTGAATAAAACAAGGAAATTTTTTATATTGCACCAAAAAATACCTGTCATAGGTTTTGATGCTCCAAAACTGAGTCCTCCTGTTGTAGTCGTCGCAAGAGAAAATCCTGTAGCTGCAGTTGTAGATGTTTTTGCAGCATCAAAGGAGAGTCCTGATGGTGCGGATATAGGCGTCGTACTGCTCGTCAGATTTGTAAAACTTGGCAGGCTCGTGACTGTAGATATGGATGTTGTTGTTGCAGTTATACCACTACCGAGGCCAAAGCCAGTACCAGGAACCATAGTATTTGGAGTGCCAAAAGCCAAACCAGTAATTCCTGATAGAAATACAAAGATTAACGTGTCAAAATGATGATCTTCTATCCGAATTCAAAAAGAAATGAGAAGGACACAAGGAAATATTTTATTCGCTTTTTATCAAAACACGTGCTATACCTGCTGTAGATTTTGGAGTCGCAAAGGACAATCCGGTGTTTTGAGGTGTACTCATCGTTTATACCCTTGACGCACTACGTGTTCAGTTAATTTGAGAAAGAAATAGCAGTTATTTCTTCTTTACGGATTTCTCTTTCTAGGACGCAATATACTATGAGGTTAAAAACGATTATTGTAAGCATAGACATACATAAAGGTAGATGGACATACCTTGTACCGTTTCATAGTATATGTTAGATTTGCCAGAATGGGAAAAAATAAAGCGACGACCAATCCGACAATGGCCTCTTGCGGATAACGACCAATCCCGTCACAAGAAAATTTTTATTCCTCTGATCATCCTATGCTAGAGATAAATATATTTATAGCAAATGTTCAGTCTATATATGTACATTTATGATTAAATTATCACGTGGTATAATAATCAAAATGATATATGTATCAGAATTGATGTTTGTGGTAAAATAGATCTCTCCCGCTTCCCGGCGGGGTGGGTGGGGGGGAGCCGGCACGTTTGCCGGCTGATACTCCTACATCATACGAGAGAGACAAATTGGAGTCTCATGCTGTCATCGTTCGCCTCCCAGGCGTTCTGCGTTCAGATGAGAATTATTCATACGCGACCCCGTGCTGTGCTGGCGTTAGAAACAGCGTGGAACAGCTTTTCGACTCTAATACCGTCGAAGTATCTGGAGTTAACTCCGATTTGATAGGAAATTAAATGAGTGTGTTTCGAGAAATATTCTGTGAAGATTGTGATAAATTTTACATCAAAGTTTGCGTTGCGTGTGTGAAAAATTTTGTTTAAAAAAAGTTATACATGTTTTATATAAGTATAACAGTTTTATCATGTTGGCTCTAATTAGTTTATACGTATGTTTTTGTTTATTTCGAGTTGCAAGTAGCTCGACGCTAACAGCACCTCCTCTATCAGCTCTAATAGTTGCGTTTGAGAATGTATATGATTTATCGTTACTCGCCAATACTTTATCGGACCAAGGGATCTATGCGACATTGATAATACCGTCTTACGCTGCTAACGATCTTTATAATAATATAGTTGACGTTGAAGTGTTGCAACTGAATGTTGATATTGATAAATCTATGTCTGTTGATATACATGCATTAGAAGCCTGCAATAGTCTCTTCAGGGATGAAGAAATATTTCAAAAGATACAAGAATTTCAGCCTACATTCACCATATTTCCAGCATTAAGGTATATCGATTTTAAGAGTTTTCAAATTTAATTTTCAGTTTTATAATTCTACCATTCTATATATATGTATGTGTATGTGTGAAATGATTGCATTATTAATGCAATAGAATATTAACAATATGTAATATATAATTATTAATAGTTTTTTTTGTATCCTTGCATATATATTATGTATATTTTTTCATTATTTTTTAGACATGATGGCTGCTTACTTCCATTTGTCAAATATATCGAATCCATTCCAGTAATTTGGATAACGAATCCAGATGAAGAACTATATGCATTTGAATGTACTAGAGTTGCTCTGCCGATACATAGTGGCGGATTTTGGTCCAGACTCTCAACAAGTTTTGCAGGGAGATCCATATTCTCTACTGCTAAAAATGGCTATCTAACTCCCGCTTTGAAATTAGCAACCAAGTACTTACCAGCTGTTAATTTCGATTTGGATCATCTTTATTCTGATGTTCGTCTAGTACTTTGGGGAGCTGATACAGTGTTGCGTTCCAATTTTGCATTTTTGACACAACTACTTGTGGAGGTTTGTAAATTGCACATTGTTCTTTATTTTCCTATTGTGTTACTTGAAATATTTTAATTTGTATATTCGCAGACTGTTTCAAAATTATAATAATTTAACATCTGTTTAAAATTGTTTTAAACAGGTAGGCTGTCATCATTGCAGAGGCGCACATCCCTTATCCGGAGATTTACAAAAATTATTGGTAGAACATAGACTGGGTACTATTGTTGCTCTATTAGACGAAAATTACGAGACATTGATACAAGAATTGGCAAAAAAATTGCCTCAAGGTAGGGAAGGTCAAGCTATCGTGTGGAGAATTAACAAAGGCGATACAAATGTCGCTCCGCCGGAAAATCTTTTTATACGCGAAGATATTGACCGGCAAGACCTCATAGGTGAGATATAATTATTTATATGTTGATAAAAAAATAAATATCTTTTTTCACAAAAATTTGAGAGAAATTTTGTGTGAGAGAGATATATAAAATAAAGTATTTTAATATTTATAAACGCTGATTATAAGTTATAAACTGTAGCATATATATGATACTATAATGCAAATAAAACTTTTTAATTAAGTAAACTCTCAAATTTGACATAAAAGAGATTCTTATCGGAGAGACCTTTATTTCTCTCCCACAGCAACATTAACAGTAAAAGGAAATAATGAATCCAGACGTTTACTTTACCTTAGTAGAATACATGTCTGGTGAAATGCGAGGTCTCTCCAAAGCACCATTGAATTGAATAATCGCGCGAGGATAATAGCGTGCGAGCACATTCACCTTTCTTTAATGCTCTTGCGCTATTGTTACAGGTTACAGCCGAACCCGAGTAGTGTTGAGTCATTGTGCCGATACGGAATTCTTGGAAGCCGCCTTTCACGGGACGCCCGTGATATGTCTGCCGAGGGACACGCACGAGTCTCGCAATACCGCCCGCGCGGTCGAGTTGGGCTTCGCGCGCTCCATGGAGGACAATTACGCCTCGGCCGAGGAGATAGCGAACATCGTGCACGAAATACATGAGACGGCCGCTTATCGCGAGAGCGCGCGAAAAGTCTCCTTAGCGATACGCGATAGACTCAATCCGGCTTCCGATAGACTCGTTTATTGGCTGGGTTACGTCGCGAGAACGAAAGACGACGGTAGGAAATTTCACAGACCAAAGAGCCAGGCGAAGACACTTACGGAGGATATCCAGTTCTTTGTTGGTCTTCTGGTAGGGATAATCTTCGGGATCGTTTCCACGGGCAGCGCGGTGGTCATGCGATATCTAATTACGGCCAACAAAGTGCAAAAATCAAAGGGGCGATACACGCGATGAGCGTGATGTTACGTCGAGATTCGATTTGATATACGTATGTATTTGTGGACATTTCTGTATATGTATATTTATATAAATGCACGTAGAATACAGGTACATACGAATACAAATGTTTTACGAACTAGGATTTATCTAACTAGTTTTACGAACTAGTTAGAGCGCGAAGAGACGTTGTTATTACAACTATCATTATTACGAGAATATACTTTCTCATAATACAATTGAGAAAACTACGAATATAATAATGTGATGTATTATCGTGAAGAAAATAAATTACACAGTTTCTCAATACTGATTTCTGTATGTCGTTGACATGAGCGTATTCCCTCGTGTTCACATTTATCGCTAAATTCTTATAATATTACGGACGAATCGCGATGTCTACTACGCATTGCTTAAGGCCGTATCCTAAACAAATAAGCCATAATAGATGTATGCAACATCGCGAAATAAGTAGTATGTTAATGGCTCATATTCACATGATATAATACTCACTACGCGATTGCTTTCGTCATCAAATTTTCTTCAAATTTCATATACTAATTAATCGGATTTATATACGTGTAGAAATTTACTAATACATTTTAAACACATGTATTTCCTCGTAACTAAATAATACACCAATGTTATGTACTCTATTTGAATATATCATTCTTTTCGATAATGTAATAAACTTATTTCAGCAAATTATTGGAGACGCAGATTCGTGTTCGTAAATGTATTATTGCATAATCTTTAATAACTATAAAATAATAATAACAATATATGTCTATATCTTCTGAAATAATAATTGCGCGATGCGTTATGCAACTATGATTTGTTTGACCGAAGAAAATGCATGACATTCGCTGTAAACATGAATGTCGGCTGATATGGATTAGAGAATTTGTGAAATGACTAGACTGCCGACTTAAATTAACGCGGCATATACGATAAAGCGGGTATTTATATATAAAATGTATACGTATATTAAATATATAAAAAACAGTGACAGAGTGAGATAAAGTCGCGGATGGTTTATGTATTTCGTGTGAATCGCGAAGAACGCAAGACGCAATAATTCTTTCTAAACGAAGCCGATACATAACGCTTACGTATATATACAACGATGATTACGGTCGTAGAGTCTAGAAAAAACGGTGAGACACTATTTACATTCATTGGCAGAATTGTTCCCGATTCGTGCGAGTCAAGACGCGAAAATTTGGGGGTGTATTTTTGCTTCGCTCGACGAACTCTCGAGAAGATGTCTCGCATCCTCTCGTGATTCGCGTCGTTCATTCTCGTGCCCAAACTTTGCTCTGTACTTGAGCAAAATGAAGATTCTATGCATTAGAGAGCATTGGTATATATCTGTGAGACACACCGTGAGAATCTGTACCTCGATAAATAGGATACTCGTGTAATCCTATGCGCAATCATACGCTAATGTGTGCGAGAGCGCGAGAGAAGTAATTTTCATGTAATCATGATCTCTATACTACCTGTACTATTCTATACCAGTTTTTGCTTTATATGTTCTCTCGCCTGCTCTTTTTCTCGCTCTCTTTTTCCCTGCTATACACGGAAACAATAAATTGGCACATCAAGGCGCGATATGGAGCGTTGCGAGATGCGTAAACATGTCACACAAAGATAAATCTAGATAAAATTTCGACGAAATCATCTATCACTCGATTCTTGCTAAAAAGAATACGCGTATATTAATTACACGATATATATATATATATATATATATATATATATATATATATATATATATATATATATATATATATATATATATATATATATATATATATATATATATATATATATATATATATATATATATATATATATATATATATATATATATATATATATATATATAGATGTATAAAATAAATAAATATATATATACTTATGTATATATTTATAATAGTTGAAAGAGGGATGATAAGAACTTGATGCCATACAATGCGTTTGCATTATTTCAAAACTCGGATTGTGTCAGATCACGTGACTCCGATGATGCAAGGCGAGCATGCGTGACATGCGTGTTAATGTGTTCTTGGAATATATAAATCTCTCCTTTGCGGTACGTCCGAGTCGAGATAATATTACGCGATTAAATGTAAATTAAAGTAACACATTGACTTTCAATGCATTAATGTTCGCGTAAGTAATGTGGCACCTGACAGTCAAACCATCATGATAAGCCACGCAACAGCAACTTCGCAAGCATATCGTTACATTAGCCGCACGATAATAATAATACTGAGAATATCTTGATCATTGGGGGAGGGGGGGGGGGACTTTCACTCGAACTTCTTTATAGTGTAGATAGAAACATATCCTAGCTGTTTAAAATGATCTTTAAATCGATAGATCATACATATATATATATATATGACTAACAGTGAAGCAAATATATGCTTTTAGTAGAAAATATAATCAAAATCATCTATTTTATGAAAACATGCGCGTTTACCGGATTATAATATACAATATTATATTTATCGTTCATAATTCTTCGCATATATTTTTTATCTCTTTTTAGTCTCTTACAGAAGCAAATGCCTCAAAGTCAAGCATAAGCGAATGCTCTCGTATCGTAATTCACATTTTTCAAAGTATTTGCTTCAATAAGAGCGTTTGCTGTGCTTTGCTTATGCGATCGATAGTTGCTGAAGAATCGAAATTACTATGATTATATCAGGCGGAAACAGCATCGACGTAACGTATCGTTGTGTAGCCTCTTGCGGCGTTAACTAACGAGGATATACAACGTAAAGCGTGGCAACGAATAATTAATTCAAACTTAAAGAATAAAACGTGAGCGCGTTTTCCTATAGATAGGCCGAACGAACTCCGGAATGCATTTATCGTCAATTACACACGTGCTCCTCCCGTGTATGTCGACACAACTCGCACTTTACGTGACAGCACCAGACGAATCGACATTTGCATTTCTCGGTGACGTCCCGCACTCGCGTTTGGTAGCCTCGACCACAGCACAGCAGCCGGCATCCATCAAGACCAAGAGACGTCCGATTGCATATTCTTCCTCGTGTACCGGGAATGCCGAGTCTGCAGAAAGAATAAAATGACGATGTTACTACGCGAAACCGCGTAATAATAATTTGTAGAGATAGAAAAACGAATATATGGACAGCGGCGCCGACGCTAGCAAGAATTTTCCAATTAATTCCTTAAATAAAAAGAAACTTTTGCATTCTTCGATATAAAATTATTTCACTTGTATAATGAAATAATGTAATAAAGCGTGAGATATATATCATCATACTTTCTACAAAATTTTGTTGTACATTTTGTGATTTATATCATAAATGTATGAAAGAAACGCTTAATACGATATTTTTTACATTAGCGGTAAAAGAATGAAATATACATTTAACGTTTCTTGAATCTGTAAAATGTGTAACAATATTATATATTAAATTATTACTGATGCACACATACACACACACAATAATATTACTGAAAGTTTCAAGATGACTAAATTGGCAGTGTGTTTTTGCACAGCGCGAATTAGACTCACGTAAGATTCCTTTCACAGTAATCAGGACTGTCCTCGAGATAAACTAGATCCGTCTTGTTCGGTCGTTTAAGATCAGGACGCGCTGGTTTGAGTCTGGCTGGTCTTCTTCCACCGCGTTGAGCCAATCGTACCAGAGCGGCACCCTCGTGCAAAGCTGCCAAAGCGACTCCGGCCATCCTGAATGCCGGAAGTCTTCTCCAGCACACACGCACACTGCACGAACCGGACATACCTGTCGCAGAAAGAAGAAGGAGAAAAATAAAATAAAAGGAATTATTCGGTAGATGAAGAAATAAAGGAAATATACTCATAATATTTATATTTGTTATATAAAAATTATGATATATTATGCCTGCTGAAATACAATGTTCAACCATGTACGTAAAAGATCTCTTATTAATATCTCGTTACCCACCGTGACATTTGCATACGCGCTGCATCCTAGAACGAATTGCACGTCTACCGGCCTCACTATCATGTTTCCTCATCAGCTGGCCAGCCAGCCCTTTCGGCCCGTGTAGAACGCCTTCTTTCACCGGTTCCTCTCCACTGTCGGACCAGTCTCGCGAAAATTTTTCACCAAATTGTATATCCTGCGTATAACAAATTGTACATTTCAATATATTCCAAAATTAGCATCTTTTACAAGTTAAAAATTTAAAGATAATATATTAAAACATATTGTCAGAGTCGTCTAACAAAACGACTCTTAAAAATACTTTTCCAAAATTCCTGTATTACCTGAAGTTCCTTCATTTTCCGGCTTCATAACAATGAGCCAACAATAGCCATAGAGATTAAGAGAATAGATCCTAAACTTGCTGGGGGGATTTCGCGTAGAATATACTACTTAAAGACCTCTCCAGCTTTATAACTTTAGAACCAGCTTTACACACGATATTCATGGTAATAAATGTGCGATACGCGATAAAAGTTTCGTATAGTTGAATACGTATATAAATGCTTTCGTCGTTCTCGGATGTTTACCGACATGTCAACAAGCTGAGATTATACTTTTTACTTTCGCTGTCAGATGCTGTCTAAACGTAATCCTTTCCGTGAGCAACGTCATTCTCCCTCTTTCGAACGGCATTACACCCGTCGACTTATCGATGACAGCCTTTTACAGTCAAGTCACCGAGGAAGGACGGTTTTTAATGGTATTTATTATACGTTATAAATCATTATTATGATTTATTATGAATTAAATATTTCAACATTATTATTATTATTATTAATATCGAAAATTCTGAATTATGTGAAAAGAACTATTGCAATTCATTATATACTGTGATCTGAACCATTTCTAATTTTATATAATATATTAAATTATATTATATTTATTAAAAGGATATTTTGAATTATACTTCTGTGTTAAATAATTTGCGATTAGTTTGCATGATGGTTTCGATACTTTAAGAATCGCGATGTCGCTTTTCCATTTTGAATTTCTCGGCCAGTTGCGAAATATTCAAATTATTTTGTATGCACATACGTCACGCGATCTGACGCTTACGATTGGTTCTTCGCTTCGGTCTTCGGTTTCTCTTCGATATCTCGAGAGCAACGATTGCGATTCTCGTAACCGTCTCGGCTATGGTATAACGCGCGGCAACGGATTTGTATCGCTCCGTATTTATCACGATTGTTGACCGTGTCTAAAAGTGAATTTTCCGCGCGAAAGACTCTCGCGAGTGCCTCGTGAAGTGCCGGACATTTCGTCGTAACGGAATTAAGTCTTGCGCTCGCTGTTACACGATATTTCCTCGTCGAAGTGCAACGAGTGCACAATCAAGTATGTACATCATCGTTTTCTAATTAATTGCAACGATATCATTATGCATCATTATCTCTCATAATTAAAATACTGTTCAATCGTCCGTAATAATTTTATCGATTTGATAAATAGCCAAATCTGAATCTTTACAGAGTCTTTTACTCCTCTATCGAATAATATATTTCACATAATTACCCTAAATTAATGTGTTAAATATATTTTGTATCTCGTACTCTCTCTCTCTCGACTAAATTTAATGTTACCGACGATCGATCATAAAGAATTTTTCAATTATTCTCGAACTCACAGGCTCGCTAGATAATTATAAAAATTTCCCCGGCCTCGATCGATAGGCCAGTTATCGCAGGCCATCGTGTTGACTGCTTCGAGATATGGCTCGAGAGTAGGTAAACATCATTACCTCTGAAGATCTGTCACCAGTTATCCGTGGCATTTGTTCACCGAACTTATCCTTGTTAAGATATATCCGGTTCCCTCACAACTTTTTTATGTTTTCTTACACCTTAACTTTCGCGCGCGTGATTAGATAAGAATCTTTTTTAACGTTATCTTCTTGTCACGTGGTGCTTTCTTGACAAAATAGGTGTTAGAATATTAGAAGAAAAATAACAATTAAAATGGGAAATGTAATAAAAGAAATTATATTCTTCTTGCAATATGAAATACTTCCACGATCATTCAATCGGCATAAAGATGTAAAAAAATTAATTAATTATCGCACATAATTTATGCTAATCAAATTTGATAATGACGCTACTAATATTTCTTATGCGAACAGTATATTAATTCGCAATTAAAAATGATTATGAAATGATACGAATCATTGTTATATTCCAAACGTAAAAAAACATCTTATACGATTTAAAGATATTTAAATTCGTGGATACTCTAATTATGTGACAGTGTGTACGTATACATGTAATTATCTCTGCACGTGTCGCACCTCTACACGGACTCGTCCTCGTGTTCAAGTAAGTTACGTGTCCGGATTGTAGGGGGAAAGAGCGGTGTGGGTTGTTGCAACTTAACAAGCTTAGCTCCCTTAATCCCCTTGTAAGCCGGCAATGTCTACAAGGGGTCAGCCGTTCGCATGAAACGCATCCGTTTACTGTGCCCGAGCTTTGTCTTCAAGCTAGTAGTATTAAAATCGGCGTCGAAAGAAACGTCGGTGAAAGACGACAGGGAAA